TGCCTCGCCGCTGAACACCTCTGCCCCCTGCACAGCGCTGCACTGCTGAAGCCCTCCCCCCCCCCCCCGCGGAGCACCACCAAACACCCCCCTGCTGAGTGCCGTGCCGCGTTGCCCCCCGCCGCCCCTTACCAGGTGCCGCCCCAAACACGTGCTTGGTTGCCTGGTGCCTGGAGCCGGCCCTGCATGCATAATCCATTTGCAGTAGAAAACTTCGCCTCCATTGAGATCTCAACCAAACTGGAAGGCCCCTGGCTCTGACCTAGTTTTCTGTATCACTGATAGTATTTCTCCTGACCAGGTGCTCCTCCGTTTTCTTATCTGCCTTCTGTATGTTTAAGCAAAGACTTCTAAGCTTGTAATTCAGGGAGGCCATTGTACCAGGACTACACACACGTGTGACATCCTCCACTCCTTCCTCAGTTAACTTTAACGTGATGTGCTAGGCTGTGAGCCCCTTGTGCCCATTGGTGAGTAGTTACTGACATGAGTAGCAGCTTCGAATCCACTGAATTGAGTAAGCATTCACCAATGGGAGTTGGGGCTCCATGCAGCCTAACCCTATGTAATGATTCAACACTTCTGTCTTCAAGTGAGCACACATGCAATGCTACCATTTTCCTAAAGGGTACCCAGATTGTCTTGGGGTATCATAGTGTTCCTGTTCTGCTGTTGGTAATTTTGTCAGGACCATAGAATAAAGTAGAAAATTGAAACTCTGTGAAAGATCAACAAATCCGTGCGGAATGATAGGCTCTATCTCTTTCTTTGACTCTCCTTTCAAACCCCAAATCTCCTGTTTTGAGAGTTTGGAGTGATAAGAGCTTTAAAAGGAATTCTAGCTGTTTGTTTCTTTGTGGTCTGAAAGCCTTGAAAAAGTACCATTTGGAATTAAAATTTTATATTTGCATGTTTCTATATTTTAGTTATGGAACAAATGGGAGTTTGCTGAATGAATTAATTGTGTTCCATTGTAAAAGTCTATCACGAGAGCCATTATATATGGTAGCTTAGAAAGCCCTGCAGAGAGAAATTAAAGTCACTTCCCTTTCTAATCAGGGCTTTCAGGAAATCGTTGATTACAAAATCTAATACAATTGCTCAGAGACATTTGTTTGATATTACTTCTGATAAGTGAAATTTTTATGTAATTTCACCAGTGAGTCTGGAAGCAGCTACACTCTCTTTGATGGCAAGACTGATTTCACTAAAGCGCTTCCTCTTATCCCTCTAAAGAATTATAGCTAACAAAACATTAGTTCCATACTGTAGGTCCAGTATAGAATTAAAATTACCATCAGGAAATGGCTAATATAATGGACAATATGTTGTTTAAAGGTGGATTGAACATCACATTAAGTGTAAACTTACCCCACCTAACCTCCATGAAGGAGCCAGCAAAAAAATTATGGCACATTTTAAAGATTCATTGTTATTCCTTTTCAACAGAGTCAGCATATTTCATTAGCGCCCATCCAAAAACTGGAGGAAGCTCTGTATGAGTATCAGCCACTGCAAGTCGAGACCTATGGACCACAAGTTCCAGAAACTGAACTTCTAGGAAGGCTAGGGTAAGTACCACATTAGAACTTTAATCTCCGTTTCATGGCATTGTATCTGGGAATGTTACCATCTTCACTTTGCCAGCAGCATATAGATTTATTTTTTTAAAATATCTTAATGAAATATTAGACTTCCTGCACAACCATCATTTTGTTTGGGTGGATAAGCTAAATTTTTTTGGTCCTCTTGCCTTTATAGATCTATTGAGAGCTAAACTGGATTGCATTAGTATATTTTAAGGTTGTCGTTGGCAGCCATAGTGCAGTAGCTGTTCATTTTCAGTTGCACTGTATTAAAGAGTAAATAAATAAAAAATCGGGGCTTAATTTACCCAGCAGTTAGCCAGTAAAAATATCAAAGCTGGGCCTTTTGCCATGGAAAAGGGTAGATTTACTCACTGACTGCCATCTACAGTTAAACAACGTTTGTGAGAAGTGAAGCATAGAGCTTAACTTTGTCAAAGTATAATGCAGGGCTGGCCCAGCAGTTTGGCTGCGTTGCAGTGTGCGGCCATGTTTGGAAGGGAACTTGGGAGCCTAGTGTTCCAAGGTAATGGAGACTAAATAGCACAATAGTGGCATGCCTGCTCTCCTCTAAAGAGGTTAGTAGCTGAACACCCGCTAAACACGTACACGACCAGCCAGATGGATAGTGTCATTGAGCTGGGTCTGCCTGTCTTCAAGGTCATACACCCTTGTTACTTCTAGAAAACACATTGCAGAACAATGAAAATGCAGGATGTCGGGGGAAGAAACAAAATAAAAAAGAAAAATCCCAGAACGTGCATCCAGGAGAACTGAGGCCCCAAAATACCAATGAGAGAGTATAGCTGGGAGGGACCCTTTGGTATGCATCTTGGGCCTGATCCAAAGTCCACTGAAATCCAAGGAAAGATTCCCATTTACTTCAGTGGGCACTGCCAACACATGCTGTTGTGTTTTCAGATGAGAAATTACACTCCTCATCCTGGGAGGGCATAGAGGTCTCAAAAAAGGTTTTAAAACACAGTCAGCCCCGATGGATAAGCAATCTAAAACACAGTGCTGCCGAAAGACCTTCAAGCTTGTCTAGAATCACTTATTGTTTGTGTTCCCATGTATTCCTGATGCCTATCGTTTTCATTATCTGATCTCAAGTTTATCAGAGGAAATATTCATCAGCTATCCCAACCCGGACATAGCTGGAGCCGGCATTCGCCACCTGTTCGAAACACAGCTGTAGGGGCCCTGCTGCAGGGGGAGTTCTGAAGCTCCATCAGCCATGGACCTTCTTACAGATGAAAATGTTCAGGGGGAGGGGGGGGGAATAAGTCTTTCTGTGGGGAGCCCCCTAGGCATTGGCATTTCATGTATAACATATAACCTGGGTAACTTGTGCGAGGTGAGAGCTCGAAATCTTTCTATAATAGCTATCTCCATAGTATCTGAGAGTGTGTGATGCTTGTTCCAGGAGAATTCAGCTTCTTGGAAAGCAAACCCCTTCTAAGTACTGCATGGCTTCAGTCTAGCTGCTAATGTTGCAGACAGTAGCCCCAGTCTTGCAAATACTTATGCTCATGCTTAATTTCTGGAGAAGCACGGTCAGCAAGACCCACTTAGCAGAGATGCTCAGGAAGAGGTAGTAGTGTGTGTGTGTGGGGAGGAGGGGGTGTGTGGTGTCTGAGCTCTTCCTGCATGGGATGGCCTCAAGAATGCAGTCCCACTTGGCTGCCAAATGCAGGTGATGAAAGTGTTTGAGTGATTTGGTGGATGTCAATCTGCCACATGTGGGGAAGCTGTGAATGTCCCCAACTGAGTCTAGAGGCCTTTTGTAATTTAAAAACAAATAATATACCTATCCTGCATGTGCCCTGCTGTTACTCCTCAAATCCTATTACACTGGGTATTTTTAATATCTTGAACCATGCAGCACCCTACTCCTTTATATATTGTTTTCTGTATTTGCATGAACTCATGCTCATCTGATGATAAATGCTTAACAAATGTGTTGTGGACCCATGGCTAGCCTTAGAAGCAGCTGCAAACAGCTGGCTGAATGAGGCAGATGAGTTGAGCATAATGGTGTAACATGCTCCTACTGAAGACTTTTAGCTCCCTTTCAACTTGAACCCTATTACAAAGGTTAAATTTAAGAGGACACAGATTCTCAGTTTCTCCATCTCTCTCTCTCTCTACTTGTCCCCATCTGAAGTGAATATTTTCATTGGTCTATGCAAATTAGTGAGGTTTCACTTGATCATTCAAATTTCTCAGTTTTATAACACTGTAGTTAGTCATAGACGACAGCAAAATTTCTTGTCCCTATAATAATATTGCAGCTTGAAAACTGCAATTTATTGCTTGCTGGACAGTTCCCCAAAACATGCAGACTTCAGTTCATCCAAACCTCAGGAACCAAGATTTTTGCAAATACTCTGCCAACCTAGTGTGGAGCCTTTACATTTATTCTGGTAGCATCTTTTATTGATTTTAAGATATTGTTTATTACCTTCAAAGCACTCAACAGGCTGGATCCTTCAAATATTCTGGTCTTAACCTCATATTTTCCACAACACTCACATCAATCTTCAGAGCAAGGAAGGCTGCTCCTTTTGTAGTTTGCTGGAGTCTGCTGAGAACAAATGGGGTGATTAGCACGAAGAGTAAGAAAGAGGATAAATTCTCAAGAGCTTATTTTAGGACTCTTCTTACTTTTCTTCTAAAAAATGGTGGTTCATATTTAAATTGTCCTATACCAGTTACTCACTAGGCTTCAGAAAATTAAATTGTGTGGGGACTGATAAGCTCTGCAAAGCATGCCATTTCTCAAACATTTTGGGCAAGCCACATGGGAAAATCAGTGTTCAAATAGTTTTTTAAAAATTGTTTCCAAGCTCTCAAAGGAAAAGAGTGCTACAACTTTTTTTGCAACCTTCATGAGTGTTTTTGATATCAACTCCTTTAAAAGCCTGAAAATAATTAAGAAATAGATTTTCAACACACATGAATGACAGCGTATATATATTTTTTCCCCTCTGGTGCGTCTCAGGAATAGTTTCCTTAATCACTGGTATATAGATGATATTCCCAAATTACATGCGTTTCTGTGGCAATTATTATTTGCTCCTGACAAGATGCAAACAAGGATTGAACTTTGTCAATGGGAGTTAAAGTTTCTCATTGCTAACTGCTAATTGAGATTCCCCTGACTACTCTTTGATTGGGTTAGTATAGGAAATCTCAGTTGCTGGCAATGCAACGCTACTTAAATAATTCCGGCTTTTAGTGTTTTTAAAATAAAAATATGAGTTTTGGGTGCTGGTCTGTAATTGAGATGGGAAACATGTAAAAATAATTAGCAACAAAACTGAACATAAATCCTATTGGTGGTTCTGCAATTTAACTCTTTCACATGTAGGGTAACGATGGACTTCTGCTCAAAAAATATCCCTTGATACTGGTAATCAGGATAACGATAGTCCAGATCCTTAATTTTTCACTTGGTTAAAATTTAAACAGAAATTTGTGGTGAGCCAAATCTGAATACCTCTGAACACCTTGAACCTTGTTGTTCTGGGTATAGATAATACACCAAAGATTGCGAGGCACTCACATACTGTGGTGATGGGACCCAAATAAGCACCTTAGATGGATAGATCAGAGCAGTCCCCGGGCCATACATTGGATAACGATCAAATGTCCATGCTGATATTCCTAGATATATCAGCTTCAGATGGTGGTGGTGGTATGGCTGTTGGGTGACTCAGTGCCTTCTTTTGAGCATTCCTAGAGGGGAATGGCCAACACCAGCTCATCTTTCCTAAGCGTCCATTCATGAGTCCACAGAGTTCTGTCTGGTCTCCCCTTCTATTCAATGTGTATAGGTGACTATTGGCAGAGTTAGTGCAGTCTTGGGCTGCATGTCTTCATTATATTGATGGAGCCCAACTCTCTATTTCTGTCTTATCTAACACCATACAGTATTGCCAAGTGCCTTCCCTGTGGTCTGTTTGGGACTGAGATGTGAAGGAATGCTAGCTTGCTAAAGCTCAATTAGGAAGAATGAGGTGAAGCTGGTAGGTTATGAAAAGCAACTGAGAAATAAGTTCTCCATTGAAGCTGTGTCTGTGCATACCATTTGTTACTAGAGTTTGCAACCTGAAGGTATTGCTGGCGCTCCAGCTGCTGTTAGATGGCCATGTAGCAGCAGTATCCAAAAAGGCTCTTTCATCTCCATTTGCCCAGGTGATTGAGATCACTTCTTTTGCATGCAGACCTTGCTACTGTGATCCATGATCTTGCACTTCTGCAGCGACGACTGTAATGCACTTACACCTGAAATCCACCCCAGGGCTCAGCAATATGCATAGGTGGCCTGTTGGTTTCTGGGTGGAGTTTTAAAGTGTTGGTTTTGACCTGTAGAGCCTTAAATAGTGTGAGACCTCCCTGCTTGAGACCTCTGCAGTACTGGCATGGCTGTGCTCAACAGAGAAACTCAAGCTGGCATCACTTGATTTAAAGGAGAGAGAACTACTAGCATGGTGTTCTGTGTGAGACACCTTTGGGACATGGGAACTTTCGCTCTTCTCTGGTCCAGAATAACCCAGATGCACTGACGTTTGTATAATAATGCAGAGCCCATTGATTTACATAGGCTTTCAGGGTGGAGGTGTTAAAATACAATTTTCTTTCTGGTTGGTTACTTTTTGGTTTTGAAGTAGGTGGAAGATGCTGGGTGTGTTTTGTGATTGGACTTTGAATTTATGCCTGCAGGTCCCGGTACCTGGAGTATGCAGGATTTGTCATACTTCTAAATCAAGAGAAATTTTACAAAATAACTTGCAAATACGTTGATTGAAAGAGTAAAACGGAAACTGGGAACTGACTCAATCATCTTCCCTTACTCATGTCAGTAATACCACTGACTGAGAGTGCTAATATCTTTGCTGTTATGTAACCTTGATTCAAAAAAATCTAAGGATCAAAACGATGTCCTTTTTATGTTCCTCTGATGTCTTGTAAGCACATGA